CCCCCAGCATTGTAAAGGTAAGTTCTGTACCAGGCTTACATTTGTTTTTCCTTCACAGTCAGACACCCTGAGCTCACTGCGCAAGGCTCGGCAACAATACGTACAACGCTGCGAAGACCTGGAGAAAGCCAAGCAGCTAAGTGCCAAGGTTGAGGAGGAGCAGAACATGGGAGGCCACCAAGGAAGTGCCAGTAAACTGCTGGAGAAACGCAGGAGATCCCGAGAGGAGGCCCAGACCAAGGTAGGACCAAAAGTACACCAGAAAGCATTGATCCAATCTTTGTTACCACGAGACGGGTCAGGGCCTCCTTCAGTTTAAGTCCATATACTCTATAATTCTTGACCCTCCCTTTTAGATTGTGAGCCCTCAGGATGGAAGACGGCTCTTAATGGCTTTGGTGGTGGAGGACACCTTCTCATGGGTCCCAGATATCTCACCAGGCATAAGATCTGAACCTGTTCAGAATACATAGATTCCCCACAACTAGAGACTAGACACGTGCGAATCAAAATCGTTCTGAATCAAAATTCGGACATTCGAACACATCCGAATTTCCCAATCCCAATGCATCCAAAGGTGTCCGAATCCGAATTTCCGTTTCCCAATTTTGGATCCCGTCCAAATTTCGTTGGAAAACTAAACTGAATCGGATGTGTGCGGCCCGGCTCTTAGCAGTGTGAGTGAGGCCTTAGATGTATGGAATAAATGTGGAAGTGTAACCTGCATGTAGAACTGCGATGCACCACATAAAAGTCATTCCTTATCATTATCTTTTATGTGGTGCATTCGATCGCAGGGCTCCTTGTTCACTAAGCATTATTCACAAGCACTGAGGATAGGCTCTGGCATGTTTGAGGGTGTTAGAATTCTTTGCTCGTTATACGAGAGGTGTTATGGCTTCAGGTCTTATATTAGTCAGTCGGAAAAGGTTTTGGCATGTTCCTAGTGACTCATGGGTTACATTCTGTCCTATCTATTACATGTAATGTGTTAGTGGGTGTCATAAAAATCCCTTTAAGTAATGTTATATGTATGATTCCTATTTAGTCACGTTTTGAATGCACCTAGTATGGGCTGTCACGGTTGGACAGCAGCCCTCTAGTGTCTATGATCACCCTTGCCATCAGCTGCTGATCTCCAGCACTTTGAGGATCTTCATCATTCAGAACTGGTGTGGCGTTTAGTTGCACGCAGCTTATGAAGTGCGTTCAGCAAATGCAATACAGATGGTTTGCCAGCTCGGTGATATCTGACATTGACGCCTGTTCGTGAGATTCAGTAAACACGACCTCCATACAAATACACCGCCTGGCCCCAAAAAACACTCTAACATTTCATTGGACCGCGTTTAGCTTTGATTACGGCTAGGGCTGCAACAACTAATCGACATAATCGATTATAATCGATTATTGAAAAAGTTGTCAACTTTTTCAATAATCGATTAATCGGCTTCCGATCAGTTGGCCCTGTTCACGGCTCCACACACGCTGCGCGCCGCACCTTTTCCCCACCTCACGCTCTCCGCTGCCAGACCCGCCCGCCCGCATCCACGCCGCACCTCCTCCCCGCCCGCCCACATCCACGATTGGCACAGGGACGCGGGGAGAGGAATTGTTTGAGAACGTGATGGTTGAGCGGTTAGGTTGAGGTGGGATCGGCTTCCCTGAAGAGATGAGTCTTTATTTAGGGAACGCCTAAAGGCAGTCAAGGTGGGAGATAGACGGACAGGTTGGGGTAAAGAGTTCCAGAGGATGGGAGAGACTCTAGAGAAGTCCTGGAGGTGAGAAAGGGAGGAGTGGAAAAGGGAGCTGGAAAGCAGGAGGTCTTGGGAAGAGCAGAGTGGATGGTTGGGGTGATATTTTGAGACAAGGTTGGAGATATATCCGGGGGCAGAGTTGTGGATGGCTTTATAAGTGACTGTTAATATTTTGAATTTTATCCTCTGGGCGAGTGGAAGCCAGTGGAGGGATTGGCAGAAGGGGGATGCGCCGTGGCATCGTTTTGATAAGCTTATACAATGTAACAGCGTTTATTTCCATCCAGAGTTGCATTCATTTTTCCCCAAGATCTTGTAGTGATGATGGGAGAGTCGAAGCTCTGTGTAAAATCTTCTCCAGAACATCTCAAAGATTCTCAATGGGGTTCAGGTCTGGACTCTGTGCTGGCCAATCCATGTGCGACAATGATGTCTCTTTCACAATCTGAGCCCGATGGATCCTGGCATTGTCATCTTGGAATATGCCCAATGTGCCATCAGGGAAGAAAAAATCTATTGATGGAAAAACCTGGTCATTCAGTATATTCAGGTCGGCAGCTGAACTCATTCCTTGGGCACACACCGTTGCTGAACCTAAACGAATTATCCAATGGAAAGCTCTGACCTATTTGCTTAGTTAAATCCAGGTGGCGTTTTATTTTTATTTTTGGCCAGGCAGTGTATTTGTTCCATAAGTTGTGTGTTGGGTCTTCTTAAAGGTGCCCATACACTGCTCGATTCTCGTACGAGAATCGCGGGAAATCCCGCGAACGTACGAGAATCGCGCAGTGTGAACGGCGACGTGCGACCGTTTCTACTGTACGGTCGCACATCTTTTGTCTAAGGAGCACGCTAGAAAACCGTACGATTTTCGGCTGGTTTGAACGGTGCTCGGGAGACAAATGCCGAACGGGCCGGTGTTGCCCGTTCAGCATTGCGGTCATCGGAAGCACGCCCCTCAGAGGGGCGCAGCTTGCGATGATCGAGTGTACGATCTGCCTGTCCAAGATGGGCAGATCGTACGTTTTTTTATTAATCACTTTACAACCATCGCAAGACTAAGGTCTTGCAATGGTTGTACAGTGTATGGCCACCTTTAGGGATCCTTGCCCCAGCTGGTGTCAATTAGGGTAATGTGTTGATGCTTGGAAGAAACATTGCAAGAGACTGATCTTGTATATCCACAAAGATGGTGAAAAGAAGCTTTCCACTTAAATAAAAGCATGCCTTAGAACCTGTATTTTAGTGTTTGTATGGTGCCATTTGAATACAATGCCAAAGGGCTTCTCACAACTCTAAGGTACTTTGCAGTGCTGCAGCAGGAGGCCTTGAGGCTGCGTAGCAAGGAGATGGGACAAAGCTATGAATTCAAGGAGGAGAACCTTGCCGCTGGAGTTCTCAAGGGATAAAAAAAAAAGGGGGGGCTGGATGTATCACCCAACCAGAGTCTATCACTGTGATTTTGGGTATGCTGAGGCGTAATATGGAAACCTTTTTCTCCTCCTCAGATCACAAAAATAAACAGTGCAACTGCTTAAAAAGTGGAACCATTGGTATCTGATAAATCCCCAGCTTAGTGGAACCCAATGAAAATCCCTACTGGGAGTCAGCTGTGGGCATGCATGGATATCTGTTGGATATATTATCCCAGGTCTGTGTACCTGCCAGGTCAACACCACAACTAATTGACAAGGAGACATCTGACCATCTTCTGTATTACTACCACTTGTTCTTGAGTGACTCAACGATGGACTCAAGCAATGACAATACAATTAGCACTGCCCTTGGTGCTTGGATTGGCCAGGTCATGCACAGAAATCTCTCTCATAACAAGCAATTCTGATATCAGAAGTACTTGCTAGGCGTTCCCCAAGGTATTGATAATTGGCTGTCATATCTAGGTGGCCTGGTCATCTTAGATTCATAGTGCAGCTGCAGTATCAGGGTATTGGGGCAGGAGACGCACATTATTTGGAGCTTGAAGATACAGAGGATGGTTGGAAAGAGGGAAACAGCCCTCTGGACGTCTTTTAATTGACGTAGTGGGTTTCCTTCACAGCTGAATAAAGTTCAACGTTGTTGCCTAAGCTTATTTTCTATACCAGCAATATATAACTAACATCACCTTTTGAAGCCCTAATTTTGTGGAAGATGTCTCCGTGTCAGATTTCATCTACAGAACCTCAATGAGGACCACACATTCAGTTAAAAAAGTTCCTTCATCATTTCATTATATTTGAATGAATTGGCTTGGGCTGCAGAAGCTTAAGGAGGAAACAAGTCAGGTTTAAGAGGACCACTGTTGCTTTTTAGGGGTGTTAGAAAAGAAACCACAACCTGGTCTAAATCAACAGTCCACCATTGCTCTGAAAATTCTCTATATTGGTCACATGTATTGGTGGCTCTCTAACTAAAGCTTTGTTATGTTTTCATCGCAGGCGCAAGAGGCTGAGGTCCTCTACCGATCCTGTGTGTCCGAAGCAAACTGCCGGAGTGAGCAGCAGGAGAAGGTCCGCCAGAGAATTATATCCCACATCAGGAAACTCATTAACCAGGGGGACCAGGTGCTGAAAGAGGTAACATTTACATATCATTTTTTTCTAAAGTAAATAGTCTTTAAAGGAGAACTATGAGGTGAGTGAAAATCACTCCTCCTCATAGTTCGAGCCGACGTGTGACAATGGAACTGTTACACGTCAGCTCAATAGATCGGGAAGTGAGCAGACACATACCGTCGCTCGCTCACGTCTCGATCCTGTCCCTGCAGAGAGCAGTGACTGTCACTCATGGCTCCCTGCAGGGATTCCCCCTTCCCGCTCCGATCCTCCAGCGCTGACTGGCGGAACGGACGGGGGAGGGGGCGGTCACAGCTGGCTCTGCCTCTAGATAGGCAGAGCCAGCTGTCAATCATGCAGCTGGGTGGATCTCGACAGTAATGTCAGGATCCATGTCGGCTGCGGCGGTCTCAGAAAACCATGAGCTGTAGCTCACTATATACTGAGCTTTGGGTCAGGGGAGGCCGCTAGTTTGTGTCCTCCCGTGACCCTTAGGAGAACTATGGGGAAAAACATTTACCCCATAGTTCTCCTTTAAACGTAAGCTCAAAGGGATCATACCATGGAGATGCATATACACGGGCCAACACTCTAATATTTTGTTGGACCGCCTTTAGCTTTGATTACAACACACATTCGTCCTGACATAGTTTCCATAACCTTATACAATGTCACAACATTTATTTCCGTCCAGAGTTGTATTTCATTTTTCACCAAGATCTTGTAGTAAAGATGGGACAGTCGGACCTCTGTGTAAAATCTTCTCCGGAACATCCCAAAGATTCTCAATGGGGTTCAGGTCTGGACTCTGTGGTGGCCAATCCATGTGTGACAATGATGTCTCATGCTCCCTCAACCACTCTTTCACAATCTGAGCCCGATGGATCCTGGCATTGCCATCTTGGAATATTCCCAATGTGCCACCAGGGAAGAAAAAATCCATTGATACATTCAGTATTTTCAGGGACGCAGCTGACCTAATTTTTTTGGGTCATAATGTTTCTGAACCAAAACCTATTATCCAATGGAAGGCTCTGACTTATCTGCTTAACTAAATCCAGGTGGTTACTTTTTTTTTGGACAGGCCGGGTATATAAGAACTACATTACTGTACATAGTTACATAGTATTTGAGGTTGGATAAAGACACGGGTCCATCGAGTTCAACCTTTATGTGTAAGTGTAGTGTGTGTATGTAAGTATATGAGTCCCTGCGTGGTCCTAGGCTCTTAAAGGAGAGCTATGGGGTTAAGGCTTTTCCCCATAGTTCTCCTTAGGGTAACGGGAGGACACAAACTAGTGTCCTCCCGTTACCCTAGGCTCAGTATACCGCGGAATCCGGACAATATGAAGCGGATCCCGACAATTATGCCGGGATCCGCCCAGCTGCGTGACCGACAGCTGGTCTGCCTATCTAGAGGCAGAGCCAGCTGTACCCGCCCCCTCCCCGTCCGTTCCGCCAGTCAGCGCTGGGAGAGGGGAATCCAGCCCCTCCCCTGTCACGGCAGAGAGCCGTGACAGGATCGAGAGGTGAGCGAACGCCGGTATGTGTTCGCTCACCACCTTTAAGAGTACCTGTCCCCCTGTATGTTACGGTCTCTGTGGAAGGTATCTAATTGATTTTTGAATGATTCAATACTCTCTGCTGATACCACTGCTTGTGGCAGCGAGTTCCAAAAAAATTTAAAACTGTACAACAAATAAATATTTCTATTTAGCCAGACTTGCCATCACGGCACCCCTTCCATACAGCATAACCAGGTCATTGACCTCACTTTTGATTTGAAAGAACTCGACTTGGTCCCCGGTCATACCCCCAACCGGCTGACTGGAGTATAGGAACAGCCATTCTGTACGTTTCCTTTCTCAAGGAGCAAAATGTGTAAAACAAGACGGATACTTATCACAATATGTGTTCTTCTAAAAACAATTCTCAATATTTCCAGGCTAATTGAGTGAGTTTGCAAATATGACTTTTCAACATGTTCCTTTCTCCTGCTGTCCTTTTAGAGATATCCTGGGGTAATCACGGGTCCTGTTATTTCCACTTTCCTTCTGTCGACTGATAAAATTGACTACAGATCCAAACCAAGTTCTATGCACAGCTATAGCAAAGAAAGCGCCTATGATATCCCTTCATACAGTAAATGCGGGATCTCTAGGTGAGCTCACAGTTGGCTGGAAGATAAAAGCAGAGAAAAAGCAGAGAACAAGGACATCTAAGGTCCTCATTCACACTGCTAAGTGTCGGCCCCTACAGATCCGTGCGGCGTGCACGGCCGTATCGGGCCGCTCCCGGGAAGGACAGGTGCTGCGTGTGATTGTACGCAGCAGCCTGTTCTTGTCTATAGGAGGACGCGGCCGTATGCCGCCCTACGCTCACCCGCCCTGCACATCAGTGCGGGTGTCTTTACTCGTACGGAGACAGGATGTATCCTGTCTGCGTCCGAGCATGGACACCCGCACGGATGTGCAGTTTGGATGAGCGTAGGGCGGCATACGGCCGCGTCCTCCCAGACCCCAATGGCATTCCGAATTTCTGAATTGCGTTCGGGAGCTCCTGAATGCCATTCGGGTCTGGGAGTCTCAGCTTTAGTAATTTATGTATATGGCTTCCAGACCCGAATGGCATTAGGGAGCTCCCCAATGCAATTTGGAAATTTGGATCCCGAATGCCATTCGGGTCTAGGAGCCATATACATATATTACTAAAGCTGAGACTCCCAGACCCGAATGGCATTAGGGAGTAGACATGTGCGATTAGTTTTGTTACGAATCAAAATTCGTACGAATTTCCTGAAATACGTAAATTCGGAAGCATCCGAAATCCGAATTGCAGTTTCCGAATTATATCCGAAATACGAAATTCCGTTAACGAATTTCGGATCCGAATTTCGTTGAAACCGAAACTAATATTACCCCTGTAAATGAGGTTGAACAACATGACAAGATTTTTTTTATCCGAAATACGAAATTCGGATCCGCTGCTGCTGAGAGTTGCATTACAATATAGGAAGGAAATACGAAATTCCGTTAACGTATTTTCGTTCCGTTACGAACATTCGTTATGATGAAGTCAAAAAGCAAAAATACCTTTTGTTAATATATTGGAGTTGATGGTAGTTTTTTTTTTAATCCGAAATACGACATTCCGTAGGGCGAGAGCTGCGGCCGGCTAAAATTCAGTTTATGTGCCGCTACCTAGCGGATTTCTGCAATATAAGACCTACCACCGAACTAGGTCTTATTTTCGGTGTAGGTCTTATATTACAGAAATCACTGAAGATAGCGCTAGGTCTTACTATCGGGGTAGGTCTTACTTTCGGGGAAACACGGTAGGAGCTTTAGTAATATATGTATATGGCTTCCAGACCCGAATGGCATTAGGGAGCTCCCCAATGCAATTTGGAAATTCGGGGTCCCAAATGCCATTCGGGTCTAGGAGCCATATATTACTAGGAGCTTTAGTAATATATGTATATGGCTCCCAGATCCGTATTGCTTTCTGGAGCTCCCGAATGCAATTTGTACATTTGGATCCATAATGCCATTCGGATCTGGGAGCTTCAGCATTAGTATTAATATCTGTAGATGGTTTTCTGTGGTATTCGCAATTAATATTTGTAAACTCATCCAAAGCTAACAAACAATTTTGACACAAAATATAGTTAAGGTGTGGCCAGAAGATGTTAGGGGGGTCTTCTCTTTATTGTAAAGAAAGGGGATATTCATCTATGTTCTTATGGGGGTTCATCGAAATTTTTATTATATATCAGAGTTTTTCTGCGCCGCTCCTTTTACATGTTGTATGCTGAATGCCGGTTCCATTTTGGCGCCAAGCTGACCATCATTATTTTATGTTCTTTTCTCCTCACAGGTGACCCAGAATCTGATGCGTACGAAGGGAACACAGTGTGCATCTATCCCCGAAGGCTACGGACACCTGCTCAACACTTGTGAGCCTTATGAAGCTGGAGACCGATATCTTCAGTTCATCGTGAGCCTGCCACGCAAGCATACTGAGCCGGAAAAATTCTCCTTCCAGGAGTACATCCCTGCAGGCCAGAGGTGATGTCGCCGGACACTTAGGGAGAGTGCTGGACATTATAGCTGGGGAGAAGCCCAATACCTAAACATGGGGGAGGGATCAGACCTCACCAAATTGATGTTTCAGCTTTGGGTCGATGTTGGTTGCACCCCAGGCACCATTTAGTTGGGTCTTAAGCTAGAGTTAGGACAGGTGACAAAACAGACTGGTGATAGGTGGAACAGGTTCATGGCCAGGACAAGACAAAGGTTGTTACCAGGAGGGCTACTATAAACCCAGACATACATGGATAGTTAGATTGCAGCATACAAGAGGAAGATTAGAATTATGCTGTGACTGTTATAAACCCGCCAGCATGCCATCTATAGTAGTATAGTAGTATAGTAAAGTGATGTACACTGACGTGTGTGAGAGTTGTCGTCGTCATGTCACATAGCTAAGTGTGCACCTATTCTCCCATTCCACTATAGGCTTGTCCTCTAGACCCTTGGTTCTCAACTGGTGGGTCGTGACCCAAAAGTGGGTCGCGACCCCATGTTCAGTGGGTCACCGCGTGCCTTCCTCAGCCTCCCCCTTTTGCAGCACTGCTGGTTCTTGAGCCAAACAGCCATTCAAAATATGCTGCCTGGTGCCGAGTGTCAGCTTGAAGTGGGATGGGCTGGGGCCATGGCCGGGAGGGAGATCCATCCATACGTACAGCTTACTCACTTGTCCTGTAGAGGTGCCTGGACCAGAGTGATGTCACATTCTGGCTCCTGGCACCTCTACAAGGCACACAAAGGGTGCTGTACAAGCATTGCACATATGGATGGAGATTACAACAGCCCACACTGGACCCAACGCTGAGGATCTACTCCAGTTCTCGTAAGTTATGGAGACTGGGTGGATCTTTTGAATGGCACCCCAAATGCACCTCCAACCCACAGTTCGATCGGCCGCACCGGAACGCACGGTACTGCAATGCTTTGCATTACATTGCAGTGAGACTTGGGTCGCAACTTATTGACCAAGGACAAATGCAGGTCCTGAGGTTACACGAGTTGAGAACCACTGCTCTAGACCATTGGTTCTCAGCTGGTGGGTTACAGACAGGCTGGTTTTGATGGAGGATCTTGCACCGGCAGAACCAGTACCGCACTATTATTTATAATCTCAGGGGGGCAGGGAATCTAGAGAGAGTGACTGACTGGAATCAGGGGGAAGATCCCGTGAGGAACCACTACCAGCTGTTCTGGTACAACTTGGTAAACCTAGTACATGGCATGTGTGTTTGGGGTGTCTGCAATCACATTCAATTCTCCAATGGACAATTTCCACTCTATAAATATCTGCTTGCTCTGCCATACTATCCGAAGATCTAACCAGCCCAGTCTTTATTGTACAGGTCATCCCCGGGTGGCAAAAGGAAGAATGCCGTGCAGCTGGTCAGAGTGTCTTCTTCTTTGTCTGACCTGTGTGTCAAGACCGATGATATGACAAGGATGTCTGCAGGTGACATTTTCATATATTTGTCCTTAAAGGTTAAGGTACACCTTAAAATAACTCCCAGTGCACAGTGTTAAAGGATACAAGTCATTGTCTCTTTTCTTTTTAGGTGAACGAGGCTCATGGGGAAGCAAGAGTTTTCCCAATGACTCTGAAAGTATTGGAGGCAGCAGTGAGCCCAGGTCGCTGGAATCGCCAATAGAGAGCCCAGGTGATGAGATTTAAGAGGCAACAATAATATTACTGTAATGCTATTAGCCCAGGCTATAGCAGTACAGTATATTAGCAGTATATTAGCTAGGCTATTCAATCTCGGGGGAAGCCCAGGTTGCCCCAAGCAAAGGGACTACAAGCTACTTGGCTACAGTTACTTAAGGCATTTTAGCAATTTACTAGAAAAAACAGGATAACTTGTAGGTATTAAGGATGCTTGCAGGAGCTCTAGATTTAACTTATTAGGGGTACCAACCGGATCCTAAACAAGGGGTTAGTTGGGTTTGCGGTGTTTGAACCTGGGCCCCTGGTGTGTTATAGGTGTTCCGGGGGTTGGGTGTAAAAATGGCTTATACACCATATTGCCAAAAGTATTGGGACGCCTTTACACGTACATGAACTTTAATGGCAAATATAGTGTATGAGGGCTGGTGATGTTATATACATAAGGTAGAAGTGTGGGAAGCTGTAGGGGAACTTTCACAGTTCTGGTTCATTAAAGCCAAACTCCAACCAGTGACATGTAACCCACTTCCTGTGAGCTCAGACCAGTATGGACATTCCCTCTGGAGCAAGGGTGGAGTTGGACTCTAAAGTAGAACTGTGGCCAGGATATGAGCATCCAAATATTTGCATCTTATTAACAAGAGGTAAACAAACTTAAAAAAAAAGCCCTCACTTACCTTTGTAGCTGCAACCACCATGGAATAATTTCTTCTCAAAGCTTGTAGCTGAAGCTTCTCAGTTTCTCATTTGTTTCTCTCAGTAGCTCAGCTCTTTTCCAGGCAGTGAGTTGATAGCCTGCCAACCTTCCAATTATTGTAGGCACAGAGCAAGAACACACAAAGAGGGGAGGGAGCAGAGTGCTGAGACCTGACTACTTCTATTGTGACATTTGAGGATAAATTACTTCACAGTGTCTGCAGCCACACAGGTCAGTGAGGGCTTCCTTTAAAGCGGATTCACTGCTTGTTATAAATATACACATATTTGAATGTCCATAGCCCAGTTCAAATTCTGCTTCAGGTCCGAAGCAGTGGGTAGGGAATTGTGGCTTAGGTCCCTAGCAAATATCTTGCATTAAGGGATACGCATGTCAACCTACCACTGCAAAGGTGATCCAATGATTCTCCAATGTTCAAAGTCCTTGAGGAACTTGCTGGACTCTCAGTGGTACCAACAGCAGATCAGCAGAGAAGATTTTGTATTGCTTCTCTTTGGTGGGCATCTGGAAGAACCTTGACTTTTAGGACAAAGTCAGATCCCAGAATCACAGATGTACCCCCAGGGCACGCTCTCTGGACCTCTCCAGGGAAAACTCTTCAGATACTCTCTAGAAGTGTTCTGTGTCCAGAACCTCTGCACCTCTGAAACTTGTTCGTCCTATGCTTGGGGTCTATACAGCCAGTCAACGTGAAAAGATCCTTCTAATGACCGGAACGTGGAGTCCATATTGTGCTGCGCTCAGTCCCAGAAATGCCTCAGTAACCCGTCCTGTGTTATTCTAATCCATGCAGTCCACTTTATCAAAAAAGTTGCCAAGGCCTCTTCCACGGGGACCATGTCTTCTGATGACCCAGATGAACGAGATTCCTTTCACGCAGAGGACGTTGGTAAGTGGCGTGATGACCAGACCGTCATACTCAGCTAATGATGTCACTTTTCTAACCAAATTCCTTTTGTGATTGCGCAGACTCTGTTGACGCCGCGTCTGAGAACGGCTTCCCGCTGCCGAGCTCCGTCATGTCACCAGCCGCCCAAAGCCACCGACTTCGACGTACCAGAGTGCCGACCAAGTGTAGGGAGTGTGAAGGTTTCATGGTCTCTGGTGTGGAGTGTGAGGAGGTGAGAGGCAGAAACTATAACGGTTTTTGGTCAGATTAACTTGTTTTATATCATTTTTAATGATTTGTATAAATCTTTATTTTACCAGCCAAATTTATTACAGGGTACATTAACCACTTGCTGACCGCGGTGTTACACCCCCTTCCTGTCCCGCCCATTTTTCAGTGTTCAGCGCTGCGGTACTTTGACTGAATTTTAAAACAAAAAAAGTTTTTTTTTTAAACATTATGTTATAATACATGTATTCTTACCCAATTTTTTGGTAAAATATAAAAGACGGGGTCACATCGGGTAAATAGACACCAAACATGTCAAGCCTTAAAATTGCGGGTGTCCGAGAAATCGTAAAACACTACCATACCCAAAATTGGCGGCCATAGGCGACGCTTTAAAAGCTTTTACTGCTCATCAGTTTAGTGTTATCGGTGATTGATGGCCCTAAAATTATTGCTCTCACTGCGACGTTCGCGGCGATATGTAACATGTGCGACGCAATGGACGCAATCGTCGTTATCGCACCCGACGCGCGTTTGCACGCATGAATGTATGGGTGGGGACTTTGAAAACATTTTTTTTATTCTTTTTCACGTGTGACTTAAATTTTTTGCAACTTTAATTTTTTGCCTATTTTTTTTTTCCACTTAACTTTATTGTTATCACATAGGGGGATAAGAAGTCCCCCTATGTGATAGCAAAGAGATGTGACAGGTCCTCTTTATGGAGACATCAGGGTTCTCCAAGATGATGATGATTTGGCAAAGCCATCTTGACTTTGCCCAATCGTGGCTCTCATAGTTCTCGGTGCCCTGATTGGGCAAAGCCTTGCACCTGACCTGTGGTGCCAATCAGGGCTCACACGGCACAGCGCCTTGTGGGGCGCTCGGCGGGGCGAACAGCCTGCCGAACGCCCTGACAGTTTGTGTGTTCGCCGCACGCACGAACTGCCGAAGTTTGAGTCGAACTCACGCTCGGCTCGAATGTCGAGCCCATCACTACTTCTCACCAGTCCAATACAAACGTTCTTTATTAAAACAAAATCCCAACTTCTCAAGCCCTGCAGTGACTACCAAACTGTACATGTCACGGGGCAGCGAGCTCTCTATAGTGCCGGTTTTGTCGCCTTCAGCTGAGTTATTGGTCATTTTGTTGCTCTTCTCTTTATAGTGCTATATGACTTGTCACAAGAAATGTCTGGAAGGTTTGCTCATCAAATGCGGTCACAATAAACTGCCCAACAAAGTGCCTTTATTCGGTGTGGACTTCTGCAATTTCCCGAGATACTTCCCAGAAGAAGTGCCCTTCATCATAAGCAAATGCACGGCTGAGATCGAGATGAGGGCGTTGGGGCAGCAGGTAAGGGACGGCGTCGTCCTGGAACGTTTCTATAGTTTGTAATGGCAGAGGATTGGTTCCACTGACAAAAAACTAAAATTGTGTCCTTGGTATAAACTTAGAGATCATTAAAGGAGAACTATGGGGTCAGGGCTTTTCCCCATAGTTCTCCTAAGGGTAACGGGAGGACACAAACTAGCGTCCTCCTGTCACCCTAGGCTCAGTATATAGGGAGTTGCTGCTCGCGGTATACTGAGACGCCGCAACTGAAACGGATCCCGATAATTATGTCTGGATCCGCCCACCGGCGTGAGTGACAGCTGGCTCTGCCTATCTAGAGGCAGAGCCAGATGTACCCCGCCCCCTCCGCCAGGCAGCGCTGGAGGATCGGAGCGGGGAGGGGGGAATCCAGCCCCTCCCCTGTCACGGCAGAGAGCCGTGATAGGATCGAGAGGTGAGCGAACGCCGGTATGTGTTCGCTCACTTCTCGATATAGTTCTCCTTTAAGGGGAAACTCTCTTCTGACATTGCCAGCTGAACCCCCATGATGTACGTTATTTGCACACCTACGTTGGTCCAGCTTGGCTCGATGTATGTATCCTGATCTGATGTCTCGATGGCCACTGGGGATGCAGCAAATCACTGTAGCAGTCTACTCTACATACAGTGATAGTTGGGATCTTCTGGCTATGACTCCAGCAGATTCCCCTGAACACTGAACACAGGGAGTCGCTTGTTTGGCATTGCCACCACTCAGAGTATGCCTTGTATTTTTTCTCAATTAATACAATGAATACAAGGCATTGATTCTCTGATTGGATGGGGTGGAAAGAGAAGCAAAGTGGCATGTTGGTTAGTGCTGCTGCCTCGCAGCACTAGGGGTCCCTGGTTTGGATCCCAGCCAGATCACTATCTGCAAGGAGTTTGCATGTTCTCCCTGTGCTTGCATGGATTTTCCACCAGGTACTCCCTGTGTTTGCATGGATTTCCCCCCGGGTACTCCCTGTGCTTGCATGGATTTTCCCCCAGGTACTCCCTGTGCTTGCATGGATTTCCCCCCGGGTACTCCCTGTGCTTGCATGGATTTCCTCTGGGTACTCCCTGTGCTTGCATGGATTTCCTCTGGGTACTCCCTGTGCTTGCATGGATTTTCC